AAAAAAAAAAAAAAAAAAAAAACAAAAAAAAAAAAATTTTTTAAAAAAAAAAAAAATTTAAAAAAAAAAAAAAAAAACAATTAAAAAAAAAAAAAATAATAATAATAAATTTAATTAATTAAAAAAATTTAATATTAATAATACTAATTATAATTAATTAATAAATAATATACTAATTATACACACTAATAATAATAAAATAAATATAATACTTTAATAAAAATTTATTTTTTTTTACAAATTTGGATAATATTTTTTATTTTTTTTGAAATTTTTAACTAACTCTTTCTTAAATTTGATATCGGCTTTTCTGTCATAAAAAAAAATTTCATTGATAAAAAAAATAAATAAAAATAATAATAAAAATAAATAAAAATAATAAAAATAAAAATAAAAAAAATTTAATAAAACCAAAGTTCGCTAGTGTAAATATATATGGGTTTGAAAGTGTAAATGCTTGTTAAGCATTTACAAGAAGTACTGTACACCATAAATATTGTTCTTAGAATAATAACAACCAATAATTTCGTTTTATTTTTGCCAAAAATTTCTGTTTTTTTAATTAATCTGGAAAAGTTTATAACCTTTGTAAACAAAAAAAATATAATAATAATAGCAACATTTGATATGTTCTGCTCAACATACTAAAACGTTAACATTTATGTTAAAACGTTAACATTAGTAATAAAACGCTAACATTAATAATAAAACGAATGCTAGCACAGGTGTTTCAGGTGATCTTCTTTCTTGTAATACGAAAAATATTAAAAAGAAATGTTCAAAAGAAAATTAATAATTAAATTCGGAGAAACATTCTTTTCCTTTAATATGTATTTTGAATGAATGAATTCAACGGACACTCCATTTTTGAATGATTCCGATTTTCCCAAATAAAAACTCACCGAAATTTTAATAATCATCTACTAAATTCTTGCACGTAAATCATTATTTTATATGCAGTGTACTACTCTACTATTACAGAAAAGTTTAGTTCTATATGATTTAAAACTCTAGGGAGAAACAACGAAATTATATTGTTGTATTTTAATTAGTGTTAA